TATATATATATATTATTTGATTCCAGTAAAACTTGTGTACAGTATTATGCATAATAAATTGTTATTTATTTATAATGTCTATTCTTTTGTACGTGTTTTTAAATTGCTGATATTAAAATCATATAATACGAATCTCACCATTGACTGTAATCGTAAACGTGCAATTGCCAGTGTTGTCATAATTGTCCGTAGCATTACACGTTACAATGGTGCTGTAATCAGAAAATGTGCTACCGCTCAAATAATCACACACTGGGGTCAAATTATCTCCAGAGTTGTCGGTAACATTTGGTAACATCCAGGTGGTACTTGCCATGCAGTTAGAATCAGCATTTAAAACTTTTCTCGGAGGACACTCAAGTATTGGAGTTTCATTGTCTGAGAAAAAAAAAAAGAAAAAAAATAAAACATCACGAAGAAAAGCCATGTACGTTTGTTTTCAAATTTCAATTCCATATAGTTTTAGAAATTTTTACAATTTAAAAATCAAAATAAGAGAATATTAGTAAGCAAATTGATAATTGCTTAGATTTTATCAATATTAATTAATATAATGTATTTTTTCGCTGCTCCTTTCGCCGTTTTGTACGAACGTAATCTGAATAATGAATTCTCACATGTGTTGCTTTTGTAGCGTGACATGTCCTCGTTCAATATTTTGTAGACTCGTGTTATTGTAAAATTGTTTTTTTATGATATTTTAATAGACATAAATAGGAGCTCAAAATATGCCAGTAATAATAAGACATTTTAAAGATTGGTGATACGACAGAGCTGTGCACGCGTTTGGACGGCAAATCGGCACAAACATAAGGATTTACTAAAATTATAATACAGATAATAAATATAAAGTAACACACGGGTAGGGCCTTGTTTGGACTAATGATTTCAATTTAGGAATCACGAGTTTTTTGCTAGAACAACCTAGTTTCTTTAGTTGAATGAAAATATGTAATCAAATTTTACCTCCAACACCAATATTAAAGACACATTCATCTTCGTTGCCAAAGCAGTCCACAGCTGTAAATAATATTTCAGTAACTCCAATATAAAAATCAGTAATATTTGTAGCATTAGAGTACACAATAATATCATCTCCACAACAGTTATCAGTAACAACTGCAGAGTCCCACATTACTGCCGCTGTATTAACGCCGACGTCAGTATCAACATTAATGTCCTCTGGACATGTCACATTAGGTGGAAAAATATCTAAAACATTAAAATGAATATAAAACAATTTCAAAACAATTCAATATTATTCGGTTACAACATGCTACACCTCCATATTATATAAAACATACGCGTAATCTTGCAAAAAGAATAATTTCAGTGAAGTGTGTTGTATAATACATACCCACAATGTTAAATTTGAAAGAGCAATTGCCACTGTTGCCTGCCACGTCCGTTGCATTGCACCTCACTTGGTAATTGTCCAGTAAATATAAACCTTCTCTTAGATCACAAAACACAGTTACATCACTATCATAATTATCTGTTGCTGTCACATCAGTCCAGTTTACGTATGCAAAACATGTTTCGTTAGAATAAACACTGAAGTCATTGGAACAGTTCAATACCGGCGCTTCACAATCTGAATAACAATAAGATTTAGCATCACCCATATTGAAAAACTGAAACATTGCAACAGATAAAAGTAACAGGTCTACTCACCCAAAACCACAACTGTAAAATTACAGACTGCGCTGTTTTCCCAACAGTCTGTTGCTGTATATGCTACTAAATATTCGCCAATTTCAAATTCATCTCCTGATGTATAATTTGATGTTATGCTGATGTTGTCACAACAGTTGTCAGTAGCATTTGTAGGGTTCCAGTATACAGGCACTGTTATCAAACCATTTAAAGCACAAATCCTAATGTCAGTTGGGCAAACTATGACTGGATCTTCCTGATCTAATGATTAAAAATACGACATGTAATCTAAATGACAAGATAGATAAAAATAAATACGAAATATAACAATCGAGTTTCGCAGTGTCGTTTTTGCTCTTATGCACTTTTTTTCTTCTTCAATCTCTTTTTCCGTACTTCAAAATTTTGGGCCACCTCTCCTGTAAGCCCACAAATAATCTGCTGATTTTTTTAATGTTGATTTTGACAAAATAACAGGCATACATCATCATTTGGCTTTTGTTCATCTCGCTGTGGTTAGAGGGTTTTAGTTGAAATGCATAGGAGACTGCAATGGTCTATGGTCATTATCTATATAGCACCTTCCAAATATAAAACCGTCTCTAGGCGCTTTAAAGCCACAAGAAACAAAACAAGGGGATTGGGGATTGGGGGTGCGCAACCCCGATTTTGAGATAGCTTCGCCATCACATACTGTGTACACGCAGGTACCTTTGTGTCTGTTTGATGGGCTCCGGCAGCTTCCCACGGCTCCCCTACCGTGCACTGCTAAGTTGGCGGTGCTACCTCAGGTAAGGAGGTGCGACTTTTCAGAGTGAATAAACTTAATTTCTGAATTTTTTTAACATGCAATTACCATTAACAATTTAACCGTGATTGCATTATAAAGAAATCCCAAAATAATTCTATCAGAAAGAAAAATAATTTTTAAAATAATATTGTAAGTATCTTTCCAAGCAAATCAACTGTGTTTCCTCAACTATAAATTAATATAAATACAATACTTACCATAGATTGTGATTGAAAACGTACAATTACCAGTGTTGTCATAGTTGTCCGTTGCATTGCACGTTACAATGGTGTTGTATTCTAAAAATGTACTCCCGTTTACAAAATCGCATAGTGGTCCGAAAGTTTTTCCAGAATTGTCTATGACTTTCGGGGATATCCATGTGGTAGTCGCAGTGCAGTTAGAGTCAGCTGTTAAGTTTTGATCTTGTGGACACTCTACAAGTGGTTCTTCGGTATCTGAGAAAAAATATATATATAAAAGCTTATCCATCAACTGGATTCATGAAAACAAAACGAATAAACAACCAGTCACGTATAATTCCAATTTATAATGTTATTAAAGTATATTTGATAAAACAATAAATTACCGTAAACCGTAATATTGAAAACACATTCATTCTGGTTGCCGTTGCATTCCACAGCTACGAATGTTACTTCAGTATTTCCAATGTAAAATGCAGTGCCATTTTCAATATTAGAAGAAAAACTTATATCATCTCCACAACAGTTATCAGTGACAACTGCAGAGTCCCATGTCACTGATGATGTGTTGACGCCTACTTCAGTACCTACAGTTATGTCGCCTGGGCACATCAAGACAGGTGGAATGACATCTAATAAAGGAAATAATTATTACAATTACATTACTCAAATGGGAGCACAAACGTGTTATTAATAAAGAAAATATAATATCTGTCGTAGCCATATTGTGGAAGTATGAGAATATTATTTATACTTGTAGTACCTACCAACAATGTAGAAATTGAAGAAACAAGTGCCAGTGTTGCCTGCCATGTCTGTTGCATTACAGTTCACAGTGTAGTTGTCCAATGGAAATATACCTTCACTTAGATCACAGAACACAGTTAAATTACTATCATAGTTATCTGTTGCTGTTACATCAGTCCAGTTTACGTATGCAAAACATGTTTCATTAGCGTCGACACTGAAGTCAAGTGAACAGTTCAAGACAGGAGCTTCACAATCTGAATATTAATTACATTTAAGTTTAAAAACCAAGCACGTGATACTCTAGTATAGAAAACTACTTGCAAAAAAAGTAATAAGGGTAGCTACAAACAAAATTATTATAATATATAAATACTTAATAATTTTATACGAGGACAAGTTTGTGCTTAAAACTTACCAAACACTACGATTGTAAAATTGCATAATGCACTGTTGACACTGCAATCAGTGGCTGTGTATGTTACTACAGTTTCACCAATTTCAAATTCATCTCCTGGAATATACGTTGAAGTTATGTTTAAACTATCACAACAGTTGTCAGTAGCGTTGATTAATTTCCAGTACACATGTGCTGTTGTGTGACCAGTTGCAGCGCAAACGTCTATGTCCGCTGGGCAGGATATGGCAGGGGCTTTATCATCTAATGAGCAAAAAACACAAACAATAATGCTAGTTAACGTAAACCACACTTATTAAGTAAATACAGTATATGTTTGTTTTTAATTATTAAGTTGAATCAAGGTATATCCTACCATAGACGGTAACTGTAAAATTACAGTTAGCAGTGTTATTGTGGTTGTCGGTTGCACTGCAAGTTACTATAGTGGTGCTAACATTAGAAAACGTTGTCCCGTTTAAATAATCACATACAGGTATAAATACATCTTCAGAGTTGTCTGTAACAGTCGGCTCTATCCAAGTGACATCTGCCAGGCAATTTTCATCACCAGCTACACTTTGGCTAGCTGGACATTTAGGCACTGGAGGTTCACAATCTATAAAGTAATTTAATAAATTAAAATAACGTAGCATATTTAATTAAATGAAATATAACTTCACAATTATTATTATTACAACATGCACTTAGCATTAATTTTGTTATTATAATTTGCCTTTTTTTTTGGATAAGCATAAGATAGTTTTAAGTACCTTTAACTTCAACAGTAAAATGGCAGTAACCAGTATTTTCATTACAATCAGTTGCTGTATATCCTACTGTGTATGTACCAATTGACAAAGGATCTCCATTAGTGTAATTTGAAGTATAATTGGTGACATTGCTACAACAATTGTCGGTAACATTGACTTCTTCCCAGGTGACATTCACTGATGCTATGCCTGGATCTGTGCACACCTCTATGTCTTCTGGGCAAGTAATATTAGGGGCATCTTCATCTGTAACCACATGAATAGATTTTTAAATAAATATTTTTAATTTCCAAATAATGTGAATAATTATGTAAATAAAATAACTATTTGCATAATAGATTCTAATTCATTTAATCAAGTTGAAATTTAATATCAAGTTTTAAAAGTGTTATGTTTTCTAAAGTGCATAGATTCCGTACCTACTGATGTGGACAATATCATGAAAATAGTGGTTATTCAAAAAGTACTGTCTGTTGATTACTGATATTGATGTACATAGAGAATCAAAATTTTGAAAGTTTATTATGAAATACGACTATTATAATTACTCCAGATAGTATTTCAGATCCCGACCCACACCGAAAATGGGCGGTATAATTATGTTAACCACAAATGGCTATGGTGCTGTTCTGTGCTTACAGTAGACCTAATACTTTTCTAACATCACATCATGATATACATACTTTATCTGAATGAATAGATTAAAGGCATTAGATATCTTACATTCTACAGAAGATATATTTGCCAGTAGGGATTTGTATAATCTACTTGAATAATATTAAATATAGAAACCTTAAATCTTACCATAGATGATGATTGCAAAAGTACAATTTTCGATGTTGTCATAACTATCCATGGCGTTACAGGTTACAATGGTGCTGTAATCAAAAAATGTGCTTCCACTTATATAATCACACACTATGGTTAAATTATCTCCAGAGTTGTCTGTAGCATTTGGTGGCATCCAAGTGGTTGTTGCCATGCAGTCTGAGTCACCTGTCAAGTTTTGATTCTGAGGACATTCAATTATTGGTGCTTCATTATCTGATAAAAAAAAAATCAATCATTGTTCAACGGAAGTCGACATGGTACTTTGATGGTAGGTATGATGTTGATTTTTATTCTTTGTGAAGTGAACTGTGTTTTAAAATGCAATATTGGCTAGTATAATTCATATTTGGCATAATTCCTATTGTGACTGCTCTTAGAAACCACGTTAATTTGACTTTCATAATATATAACCAATTTATTTAACTTGAATACTCTAATTTTAACAATTTAAAAAATTACAAAAAGCTAATGATGAAGTCTATACGTAAAACCCTTTGTAAACACACCTTTCTTTTCAAAATATCAAACCGAATAAATCGTTTATTTACTGACAAATACGCCTATAATTATAATACATAAAATGTTGTACCTTCAACTTTAATATTGAATACACATTCATCCTGGTTGCCATAGCAGTCCACGGCTGTGTATGCTACTGAAGTAATTCCAATACTAAAATCAGTGCCATTTGTATTATTAAAGGACACGTTAATATCATCGCTACAACAGTTATCAGTTACAACTGCAGAGTCCCATGTTACTGCCACTGTATTAATACCTACGTCGGTATCAACGGTAATATCACCAGGACACACCAAGATAGGGGCGGTAACATCTATTATATGAAAAATATATAATTCATTAGAATTACAATAATGAATAGTAACGGTCTGTACTCGAAAGAAAGGGTATTATCCCCGCTCTATTTAGTAGGATAATGTTAGAGTATGTTATACATATTTGTGCAGACATATGGGGAATTTATTAACAACAAACACTTTTTTTTAATTCAATATCTTTATATGTTTTTATTTAATTTTCTATTTTTAAAATACATAACATAACTATAATCATTTTACAAATATTTAATACATACCAAAAATGTGGAAATTAAAGTAGCAATTCCCAGTGTTTCCCGCCTTATCTGTTGCATTACAATTCACTGTGTAGTTATCCAGTGGAAATATACCAACAGCTTGGTTGCAGTACACAATAACATCATTGTCATAATTATCTGTGGCTGTTACATCAGTCCAATTTACATATGATAAACACGTTTCACTAGCATCAACATTAAATTCAAGGGAACAGTTCAAGATGGGAGCTTCACAATCTAAATATAACGTTAACACATTTAGACAATTATGAATGCATTTAATGGTAGTAGTTTATTAGTGTAGATTTGTATTAATGCGCTTGGTGTGTGGCTAAGAGCTCGTTCAGTGACTTTCTTCACCTGTAAGGATCCGGTAAGGTAAACCCGTACCAACAACTTTTGTCGTCGACGACAGTGAATGTCTCTACCAGTACATCGGGGTACCTTAGGCCTACTACTGATCTAGAATGATGTACAGGGTACCGTACTTTTTAGTGCACAATCCATTGTGTACAATGACCTATGGTTTAAACTAATTATCCGAGAAGACTTATTCTACCACCAGAGCCTTAGATTAGGCCTACCATGCCGCTGGCACTAGCACCGATATGTAGGTTGCGACGCCCCTTAACCGTACGACTATGCAATAAACTCGTCCACATGATTATTGCCAATACAGAAAGTATGTACTTACCCAAAACCGCGACTGTAAAATTGCATGATGCACTGTTTCCATCACAATCAGTTGCTGTATATGTTACCAAATTCTCACCAATTTCAAATTCATCTCCTGATGTATAATTGGAAGTTATGCTGATATTTTTACAGCAGTTGTCAGTTGCGTTACTTGATTCCCACGAAACAGACGTTGTTATGTATCCAGTTGTAGCACAAATACTTATATCAGTTGGGCAAAATATGACTGGGCCTTTATCATCTAGTTAAACAGAATACATGCATACCTGTACTTATCTTATCTAAAAATCATAGGCTATAATTCAATTTTTTCTTCAATTATTATTTACTTTCAATTTGTAGTATACAAAATATTTATACTTGAACAATTGTAAAAGCATGGATTTTTCCCAACATCTTTTACACATTTCTTCACTGCAACGAACAATTAAGGTTACAGTTACAGGGAAATAATTAAATTACAAAAAAATAATTAAAGTTTTAAAAAGAAATTTAAATATGACATAATTTTAAAATGTATCTTAGTAAAATCTTAGTAACAATTATTCAAAACCATGTATATGTGAAATAACAACTTTATAAAATCAAAGAAGTATTAATATGGTTTTTAATATATATATAT